TTTGGCCGGAACAGTGCCCCCACGGAAGTGCATGGGCCACTCGCCTTGTGGCTTGACCGTTCGTGGGTGCGCCCACTACGGCAGGCTCTCGGCCATATCCCGAAAGAAAACGGGACCCAAAAAAAAAAAAANGTGCGCCCACTACGGCAGGCTCTCGGCCATATCCCGAAAGAAAACGGGACCCAAAAAAAAAAAAATACAAAAAAAACAAAACAAAAAAAAAAACAAAAAAAAAAAACCGTTTTATTACAAGATCTAAAACGGGAACTGGGAGCTACTGGCACCTCGCCAGTCCCTTAGGTCGGGCCCGTCACTACGCATGTCACCAAAACTGAGGGGGGATAGCCCCGTCGGGCCCTCAATCCCTCAGTTTTCTCCTCGATGCTCCGCTGCCACCGCGCCGACGTCTGCCGGCCTCGATCCCCGAACCTCCGTTGTAATAGTCCGATGCCGTAACCTATAGCCCAAGCCTGAGACAAAAACACGCCGAGTGCCATATAAGACGGTGCGGCGCGGCGCTTTGGGCCAACAAAAACGACTGTGCGGCTCTCAGTACGCCGGCTTGCTTATACCATGCCATATTTGCCCCGCGCGCCATCCTACGACATCCTGCTCACCACACGAAATCACGCAATTATTGCCGATGCCGTCGTCGGGGTCGTTCTCCGCACGCGCGCTTGACCTACTAATCAAAAAGAAAGTATCCTTAATCCCTGCTTAATAAATAATAATAATATCACCAACCGAAACGACCGAGGTCCGGGCCGGCTTTACGATAAAATAACAAAAAAGAATCACGCGCGCCTTAAACCTGCGCGCCCACGCACTCGCTATTGCGGTCAACCACCCAGTCAAAGCAATTACTGACGCAGCCACGCTTAGCACGATATACTTAGACTCTAGACCAAAACTATTTTCTGTCACTTGCAAAAACCAGGGCGGATACCCTTGTAAGGGTATTCGCACCGACAGCGGGAATTTGGAAAAGTACATTGTGCACACGTACGTGTGTGTACAGGCAAGTGAATGTGTATGTGTGTGTGTGAGAGAGAGAGGGAGAGAGAGAGGGAGAGGGAAGGAGAATGTATGTGAGAGAGAGGGAAGAAGAAGGGGCGCGTGGTGGTCCTTGGGGACACGTGGCATCTGTGTGCGGGAACGAGGTTGTGAGTGGTGCGAGAGACACACTTGGTGTTGGAAGCGTGCGGCATTTGGCCGCTATCTGCTCGTGCTTGGGAAAACTGTTGTCGTCATCTTCGGCATTGTAGAGTAGGCTAGATAGGATCTGTCATCTATATTCTGGGCGTCGAGCGCCATATAGGATATCGACGTTGGTTCTGTGTTGATGATGATGAGACTATTCCGGCATTGTCAATTATGAGCTTTTGCTGTGTTCTTATTTGGTGGGACTCGTAATGCAATTCTGCTTTTTGGTTCGAGGTCACGACTATCTGGTCACATGTGTATGATGCTGTTGATTTCTGAAGTTCGCTATCGCTCATCTTCCTTGCATTATTATTATTATTATTATTATTATTATTATTATTATTATTATTATTATTATTTATATTCCTCTTATTTTATTTTATTTATTATTATTATTATTATTATTATTATTATTATTATTATTATTATTATTATTATTATTACTTTTGGCTTTCTTTTCATTCCTATCTAAGACGTTTATTCAGATCGTGGCAGCGCCCAGTGCACACGATCGAACATGACTGGTACTCCGGCTAGGTGCATCTGTATGCAAGATGAAAAGTCGGGAAGAAGATGATGAATGAGAGGAAGCTGGGAAAGAGAAGGTGACAAAAGAGAGAGAGAGAAAGAGAGAGAGAGAGAGAGAGAGAGAGAGAGAGAGAGAGAGAGAGAGAGAGAGAGAGAGAGAGAGAGAGAGAGAGA